CTGTTCCTGTGGCTGCTGGACTTCTTGAGGCGATTTCTGCTGCTCCGTGTCTTCTGGTGCCTGCGGCAATGTGTCTTCTCTTGGATCTGACCTTTTGTGCGAGTATTGCTCGATTTGCGTAGCATTTAGATCGTCTTGGTCGGCAGAGTTGAGTGACCATGCCTTTTGCGGAATGTCTGGTATATTTGGTAGTGGAGTTGATGCTTCGTTTTTGGAGACGGGCGGTGCCCTAGTTGCTGAGGAGGGTTTATTCATATGCTCCCCCTCAAACCCTGATGCGGGTTGAATGCTCCGAGGCGGAGTGTGGCTCTGCCATGTGTCTGCGGCTAGATTTGTTTTGTTGGCCCAGTAGCTTGCGGTTTTCTGCTGTTCGATTGAATCAAAGGCGTCTCCAAACATTACATCCTCGTTGAAGGTGGCGTGCGGGGTGAAGCTTTCTATCCATTTATAACCTTGCGCTTGTGACCAACGAGGGTGATAGATTAGGTAATTCTTGCTGGTGTTCTTTTGGAACCCAAAAAACCACCCTTTTTCTGCTCTTGCTTCGAACTTGCCGCTCTTGGGTTCTAACAATTTGTATGCGCGGCAGCCGAAGCGAGGTAGTGTTTTAAAGTCGACCTTTTAGTTGTGCGGTAGAATTAAGCCTTGTAGAAAGTCGACTATAGGCACCTTTTTGGTGCGGAGGCAGAAGAGACAATTGCTTAGAAAACATGCGTGTTCTACAGCCCATGGCCAAAACATTGGAGGCATCTGGGCGTCGATCATGATTTACCTTGCAATTCTTAGAATGACCTTATTGGAGGATTCTGCTGTACCATTTTGCTCCGGTGTGTAAGGTGCTGATACGTCTGTGCAAATACCATGTTTCTCACAGAAAGTCTTGGTTCGAGAGAATTCGGACCCTCCATCTCGGAAGATCTCTCGGACTAGTTTTCCGTGTTGGTGCTGCTGGAGCTCTATCCATTTAACTAAGCTCGATGCTATCTCATCCTTGGTGCAAGTTGTCAATGCCCATCTCATCCGGGTTTTAGCATCAGTTATGATGACGACGTATTGATATCCAGTGATTGATGTGGGAAGTTTGCCAACTGTATCTACTGATATTTCATCAAGTGGCTTTCCCGGAATAGGCCTCGGTTCTCTAGATATCAACCGCTGTGCCTTGCTTAGGTGACATGTCTCGCAGATGCTTAGCTTGGAAAGGTCCAGTTCTTCTAGCCCGAGTGAGTTTTGTGCCATATGCTTTAGGACTTTCTGGCCGATGTGCCCTAGGCGCTCATGCCATCTTTGAGCGCTAGTTGTTTGTGGTATTCTTGCAACGCCTGGTGCTACGGTTCGCTCAAAGTAGGATTGGTTTGGTGGCTCATTGCTCGAATCAATGTAAAGAACGTTGTTAATTGTTAGAAGGCGGGCTACGGTTAGCTGGTGGGAATTTCCGATCTTGACTAGCATTTCATTTCCTTGAGCTGCAACTATACGGTGCTCAGATTTCAGTCTTGCCGCCGATATTATCGAGCATGATGACTGAGGCGAATATAGGCAGTTTGTTAGAGTTACATAGCTTTCTTCAATGCGTATTTTGCAGTTGCCTTTATACGATAGAGTGTGACTACCTACAGCCTGATCGAATTGAAAAGGTATGGCTAGACGTTTTATTGAAACGAAATCACTTTTACGGCGTATAAAATGGTGCGAGGCACCTGTATCATATAGTAGAGGGTTCGAATTGGAAGCTGCTAGTGCTCTACTAGATCTGCCTAAGTACACGACCTGGTCATCTCCGTCGCTGTCTCCATCCGTTATTTCCTCGGCCATACTTATGCGAGCCGCTTCTTTCCAATTTCGGTTTCCTTCACTAATTCCCTTTCTTTTTGGTGCCAGCTCTGGGTGTTGCTTATAGCATTCTTTATTCAGGTGCCTGTGTTTACAGAGCTGGCATCTCTCTTCGTTATGGCCGACCATGTTGCGGTCTCGTGTTTTTGGTTGTCTATCTGCTGCAACCATTGCTCTGCCAGTTGCGGCAGGTCTTTCCTTCACTAGCCGAATAGTGGCCATCATCGCGTTGAGGGGCACATAACAGCTATCTGCTGTCGTCGTTCGTGTCTGCCTCCAGGTGTCAAGCCAAGGTACATCATAGGTACCGAGAACGAAAAAGATGCTGGCCAATCCAGGTTGAACCGTGTACGGGTTAGGTACGTCGCCATTCCTGGGATTTACCGTGAACATCGATTCTGCTGCGTTGTTCACCGAGATTAGATTTCGCAGAAACTCGTTGCAGTACTCGTCCGCTGTGGCTGTCATCTTGGTCTGCTGGAAAGCTCTGACTGCGGCTTCGTAAGGGCTGCATGCTCCCTCTTCTCGTGATGTGGCTATGCTGTCGAACAGCTGCTTGGCGGCGATTTTGCGGATATTTGGAGGCCTTATTACGGCCGTCATTCTGCGAACCATCACTCCTTTTGCGTCAATTTCTCCCTCAGCCCATTGCTTTAGGCATTTGTTGTGCTCTTGCTGGCTGTTGAGGAACTCTTCATTAGTCATGCCACTTGTCCGTTCAGGGGCTATTGGCCTAATTTCCGGGGGAATTCCGTCGATATCATGGAACACATGGCCGAAGCGGCCACGTTTTACAAGTTCTGTCTGCAAGTCGGTTTCCCACTTGACAAAGTTAGCCCCTGTTCCGAGGATAATCATGCTTTCGTTATTCATGTCTATTCTTGTTATTTGATCTGCAATAATTCAACGAGAATTAGTCTTTGATTTGCAGAGAAAAGCGCCGGGCTCATAACCTATTATAATAACGAGGTCATGAGGGGACAGAGGAATACCTGAAATGGATGCAAATGATTATGGATGCGCGGATATAATTGATATGGCTGTAGTGAGAAGAAGCGTTGGAATGGACAGTAGTGAGTTGGTTGATTTACAATCTATCTGCGGAAGTATTGCTTCCTTATATATACATTCAGTACCCCAGTCCTGATCACGCACTCACCACAGGTGATTCCTACTTCTGTCACAGTAACCACTTCCATAGCCCCTGCCAACATCTCCTGTCATAACATACTATTGACACTGGTTGCCAGTGTGGAACTCCCGGGATTGCAGAGCTATACACCGTCGTCACATTATATGCTGTTGCCCCTCGGTAGCCATCAGAGTGATGTGCGCCTCAGTCTAAACGCATTGGTCCACCAGGCAGCGCTCGGATGTAGGGATGTTGCCAGAGTGATTAGGTACTTAGCTGTGCTATCAGTGCCCTAATCTCATTTAGCTTACTGCGGCCGAGTGTCCGAGTGCCGCGATGGTGGGAGCCCGATGAGGCTCGATCGGAGCTGACCCGAGGTATTCACAACACATTTGCAGTCAGTACCACTTTGAAAATAATAACCAAGCAGTTTCAACTCCAAGACGTCCCCACAATCATCTGTGCAGATTCTTTTTCATTGCACAAATTTATGGTAAAGCTCGGCACAACAAAAGAGAAAAGACTCATGATCGACGTTATGGCAATTAGAGAATTGTATGAACGACGCGAATTATCCGAAATCAGATGGATCAATGGCAATGACAATCCCGCTGATGCAATGACAAAGTTTAATCCTAAAAAGGCGCTACAGGTGCTTGTCGACAACAACGAAATGCACATGCAAATGGAGGGATGGGTTGAGAGAGAACCTTGAGATTGAAAATATTAATTGAATTCAAAATTCCCTGCATAAACAGCAAAGTTGTGCTCATGAAAAAAAAAAGTTTCCAGTGTTGGAATAGAAGTCATGTGCACATTAATAAGCAGAATATTTACTAACCAATTGTAATAGTAGTGCTACTTACGTAATATTCCCTTGGCATTCTTACATGATACCAAATGGCTAGAACATATAGATAGAATGAATATATGTGAATTGTTACGGTTTGACCGTGGTTTAGCTTAGGCGGAGACCTAAGCGGAGTTTGGGGCGTATTCGGGAGAGTGTTACATATTATCTTGTATCAAGCGACTAAGTTTCACTTGGCCACACTACATTAAAGCTAGGAAGGAATGCGAGACGGCGAAGTAGAATTGCCAAGTGAGAGAGTCAGCTAGATGGCAAAGATGACGACGGGCAGTGGCGGAGCAATATGTCATTCTCACCAACAGAGTACGTATTGGATGAGCTAGAAGGATGTACAAATAGTCATTGCCCGTAGTTGTGATACTTCTCTCTTCATATAGTTTAATCTTTCTAAAAGTACACTACAACCAGCTTGGTTTCGTCACAGAATATTATTGTATCGTTTTATTGAATCTATTTATTGCCTTTTATTTACGCGCGTATACCGTATTGTACCAACACTTAGGCTACGTGTCGCTTACACTTGTACTTGTAGAGCACACTTTCCACACTTTTAGCTATAATCCGAACATGACACTTTTTTAGTGAACTTCTACATCTGATCCATGAATATTGCGCCCATTTCATTGCGCAATATTTCCAACAGGTACATCTATGAAACTATATACATGCTTGCCTAACTGGTACACTAGTGATGTATGCTGCGGCCTTGAGCCACACTTAATGCCCTAGCCTCGACTACCTTGTTGTCTCATATCATAACAATTCGGACGATCCACATACACTCTGCAAGCATGACCACGTCGGAAATGACTGTTATATGCAGTATCCAGAGCGGGCACATAAGCGCTGGCTTAATAGAGAAGTACATAAATGTCACTACCATGAATAAGCAGCATTAATAATCAGTCACAAGAACGAAACTTCTGAATAAGAAGAAAGCTGCTAATATATAAAATTAAATGAAAGAATAATAATCAGAGTGTCGATTGGCCTTAATTTACGTATACGTAAGTTTAGTTCAATGCAAAACAAAAGGTACAAAAGTGAGGTATGGATTCTTGTATTATTGTTTTATGTCTCTCTCTGTGAACATTGGGAACATGTAGTTTGTGGTATTGGCTGAGTCATCAAGACAATGACTGAGAAACAGAGAGACGCACCGCACTAAGCGCTCAGTAAAAGACATACATTCCAACACATAGGATTATATTTCAATTTCTCAGTCAGGAGGAAAATAGTCAACAGCCTGTACCCCTGTTTCATAAAGCTCGAGGAAGAAACGGTACTCAAAGGCGTGTTATGATTGGAATTATATAATTGGTCTAAATGAACCATAAAAGGGAGAGAAAATAAAAGCAGCAAATAACATACAAGGAGCACCAATCTAAGATTTCACAATCACTAAATAGGAAGATTCTCAATCACATGATATCAAGTTATGCCATTCCGAACCTACGAACTTATATAGACCAGCTTTATCAATTCCATCTGCACAGAGATGGTTAGAGAGTACTCACCATCAGGGGGAGTATTGTGCTGGTGATGGCCAGGTGTTATGGCTCAGTATGACTGCTACTCAGTATAATGACTTGTAGTTGTGGCTATACCACTGTGCCATAAACACTGGCCCGAACTGTGGAGGCCTTATCATATCAGGCGCCGACATTTAGTTTATTATTATTATTAATTCATTTTATTGTCCTGTCTGAGTCTATGACTATGTAGGACATGCAGGTCCTCTCTGCCTACAGGCCAAGGATACCTATACCAGTAGTATATCCCCTCCTATGCCTCCCATACAGCTCCCCTCAAACAGTACCACCCCTCACAAGTCCTCATTCGATCATACACTAAGAGGAGCCCTTTGCCCTTCATTATCTCCCCTCTCCAGCCAACGAAACGATGGCCATTTGCGGGTGTATGGCAGCCGGGAAAATTCGCAAAAACCACTGGGTGCGGGGCTCTTCTAATACCGACATTAGGAATAAATCCGAAGACATATTGCCCCTTCTGAAGCGTTCGAAGAGGCCGGCCAGCTGGGCGCTGCAGACTTGTGTGTACCTCGGGAAATTCACCCTCTGCCTTTCTAGCCTCCTTCCAACTCCTTCCCGAAGGTCGTGCTGAAATGTCAGAAAAGTCTTGACAGAGCGTGATTGCTGTATAGTAGCTTAGCCTAACTTCTTTTGTACCGTCCAGGGCGCTGGGGAGTGCCGTTGACTCATCGACAAAAGAAGCCCTCCTGGCTAATTAGCCGAAATCTTGGTCTTGGCGCCCACAAAAAATCCAAAGTTGGAAACTCCTCGAAAATGTCAGTCCCAACACAGTCTTCAGAGTCTTCTTTCTCCTCTCGCTCCACATCTCAGCTGCCTGTTCTTCCTCAAGATGTATAACCCCATTAGAGCAGCAGTCCCCCATAAACCAAGACCCCAACTTTGTATTTTTCGACTTGATTTCCTCCTTGCGGGTATAAATAGCGTCGTAAATATGTAGAGAGTGATGGCCGGTAATGAATGAGGCAAGCTCCTGTTTGCAGTTAGGGTGACGCCTCTGTCGGTCGGCGAGGCGAGTTGATATGTGCTTAGATCGGGGTTGAGGACTCAGAAGATAATGATGAGTGCTGCATGGTTGAGAAGTCGTCAAATGGAGATATACATGTGTTTGCTTTCGACTTCGATTCGGATGCGATTCTTCTTGGCTATCCCAGATATGCAGAGCATACTGAGCGATTACACCGGCACCACTGGAAGGTGAAGAATTCGTCTTTGCCGGCCCGACATTTAGTTGAGTCACGCTAGGCTTAACAGTTGTACTTAGTTAAGTGTAAGATGTTGCTTTAGTTCTGTAATTTTGCAATCTGTATTATTAGTCTACAAGCTATTCTTGTCCCCGTCCGTTCTGTAATACTCTCGTGCAACATCGGCCAGTTCCCAATCTCGAAGACGGCTATCTCTTCACATACCAGCCGTAACACCAGGATTACGATGCACAAGAGTAATGATCTGTTACATGCTTAAGGATAACAGGATAGGTTCCCTGGACAAAGTCTTGTTGTATTTCTAACAGTCCTGCATCTGTTACACTAGTCATGTTCTATCTCGTTTTCGTTTCCGTTATTTGTATCATTTAATACTGCGCAACATCTATTTTCTGTAATATTAAATAGTCTTGGCACTTAACACAAGATATGTTGGAAATTATGGTAAATGCATGATTCTGTCTTACACTCAGCTAGCTTGGGGGTCTACTGGTGGTCAAGACATACCTTCACCATGATAATGTCGCCATACTGGGACATGGGCGCACATCCTGGCTTATTTCTAAATTCGTCTCAGTAGGACTAATCCCTGTATATATATGTAGTGTTCTTCTCCTTCAGAAATCCTCAGTGCATTACATTTACTGAATATCTCTGAAGGTCTATTCATACCCTCTTCGTGTCACCCTACCAAGCTTCGCCCTTAAGCTCTATTCAACTGCTTCGTTGTTCGGCATATATCCTTCACCTCCCTATACCATTCCAGCATTCCTCTACAATCCATAACCTCACAATAAGTCTGGAGACCAATTAAGTAATGTCCATCTTAGATAACACTAACATTACCCCTGTAAAATATCTTCACTCTACAAACCCTTACCTACACCGTAGAGACAGCTTTTGGATATCATTGTCTCAGATAATCAGAATAGACATCGTTGACTTTGTTTGATTGTTCAGATCACGAGTCTTTTCGTGACATGATCACTGAGGATGAAGGAAGAGCTTTCCAGGTGGCTCCATGACAAATAGAAGAGTAATGGAGCACTGTATAGAAAGTGTTTCTAGACTATACTACCAGATGGATGATACTCGAATATTCCTTGATACTGTTTTTGGTAAATAAGGCGAGGGTCTAGCTACCTCAGATGTGTATATAATTAGCGCTTTCTACCTCCTAAATCCTCATAGTTCTAAATACCAAACATATCAGCATTTCACATTGATTCATTGATAATCATCTGTAAACCTTCTGCCAATTAACCTCCGTAAGCTCTTACCTTCACAACAATACTGAACATCTGTGCACGGTGCCCTCTACAAACCTGGAAGTGAAATATTCTCCAAGAGCCAAGTTCAGTCAAACGTCGCAATATCAAAGAAGTTGGCCCACGAGGCAATGATACAAATTACTCCATCACGACAAATTTTCACTCCAAACGAGTCCGAATCCCACCTAAGCCTCATCAAGTCTGCAAGTACGACCTAGTATATCCTCGTTCAAATGATCACACCTCTCGTCGACTTTCTCTGGCCTTAGTTGACCGCCAAATACACGCCCACGCCGATATTTATACCCGACGGAGGAAGCAAAGTGTGGCGCACAAATCTGGGAGATAGCTCTTTGGGATGGACGTGAGAAGAATCAGGACAAGTTTACAAGATGATGCAGAAGAGGGATACGTTTTCGACGGGCGTGAAATTTCGAATTTTGGCACGGAAATTTACGAATTGAGCTTTGTGCGCGCCAAGACTTCGCGTGCGAGAGTGCAGCTGACACTATAAAAACAAGCTAACGATGGAAGGTGTTGTGGTCCGCCTCCTGGCGGTGTTCTCCGGTATAGTCTGAGTAGCCTGGGCACCTACTCCACTTGGGAATGAGACATCTCAGATCATATTTCGCGCGGAGAAAAGTTGATGGATGACGGAGGCACGTCTAGATAACTCAGGGTTTTTGAGATGTTCCCCTGAGTGGGTATTCACGGATGAGGGTTGACTTGGGGTGAAGAAAAAGCCGCCATAACTTCGCAGTGGTACTTGCAAATGAAATCTGAGGCATGGGTGCTCCTCTTGTAAATTGAGTCATTTTTCCTGTAATTTTCTTTGATATTGTGTCATAGCTAGATAGCTGCATGCGCAAATAAAATCTGATGCAAAAAAAAAACCATTTTGAAGCAGAGTGCAGCTGACACTATAAACACAAGCCGACGATGGAAGGTGTAGTGGTCCGCTTCCTGGTGGTGTTCTCTGGCATGGTTTGAGTAGCCTGGGCACCTACTCCACTTGGGAAAGAGACACCTCAGATCACATATTACGCGGAGAAGAGTTGATGGATGATGGAGGTGAGTTTCCTGATGGATTAGTATGTATGAAAAGTGAGATAAGCTTAGCTATAAGATGGCGTAGGTTACGGGTGTCTCGTGGCTCCAAACTACTAATATGTATAGTAGAGCTTAAGACCAGATGTAACTTGGCTTTCTATTAATACAGGGTATCGTCTATATAAGTACAGTATTCCTTATCGGTGGGCAAGACTGAACACCTATACGCGGTGTTCCTACGAACCTGGGAGTGAAATATTCTCCCAGAGCCAAGTTCACTCAAATTTCGCAATACCGAACAAGTTGGCCCACGAGGCAAAGATTCAAACTACTCCACCACGTAAAATCTTCACTCCCAAAGAGTCCGATTCCAACCTAAGCCTCATCAAGTCTGCAAGTACGACCTAGTACATCCTCGTTCAAATGATCACACCTCTCGTCGACTTTCTCTAGCCTCAGCTGGTCACCAATACACGCCCACGCCGGTATCTACATCCGACAGAGGAAGGAAAGCATGCCTCACATATTTGGGAGACTGTTCTTTGGACTGGACGTGGGAGGGATCAGGACAAGTTTACAAGATGATGCAAAGGATGGATACATTATCAACGGGCATGGAATTTTGAATTTTGGCATGGATTTTCTACAAATTGAGTTTTGTGTGTGCCAAGACTTTGGTTGTAAGAGTGCAGACAACACTACAAATACCGGCATAGTTGGATGGTGTGGTGGTATTTTATCTTGGCTGGTTTGCCAAGTAAAGTCATGTATAGCCTGGATACGTATACCACTCTTGTTACGGCGTGCGCTAAGGACACTGGGGATCGCCGTCTGCCGAAGGTAAGGTATTAATAACTGTTAGGATTACAGTTGCTAACGAAGGATACTTAGATATGATTCGATTGGCGAGGTGCCAGTTAGTCTAAGGTTGTGGAACCACAGAATAGTCGAAAGACACGAAGTCAAGAAGTCGAGTTGCCGAGCAGGCGATCAAGAATGATAACTCAGGGTGAACAGAAGTACGAAGTATGTAACAATTAACGAAAGACTGAGAATATCGGAGTGTGAGAGTATAAGATTATAACATTATGTAAAAATAGATTGCAAGATCAAAGATCAAAAGAATGAAAGATTGAGAAGCTGGAGAGCTACTATGTGGCAGCTCCAGCTTCCTTAAGTCTAACTCGAGACAGTACTTGAACTCAACTAAGACTATGACAAATGCTGTCATGACGCCAGCCCCTCAATCTCTAACTGTAGGAGTTTTCTCGGAAACCTTCTCAGTAAACCTTTTCCCAAAACCTTTCTTAAAACATTCTCATATCATCTTTTCCTGAGAACCTTCACCTTGAAACTTCTTCAAGGATGCCTGGCCATAACAACTCTTGATAGGAATTGATGGCTCGAATCCGGCAAACACAACCACAATGCTCTCGGCGCTGGTATATATGGATGACAAAGGCATGCTTTGATAGCCAAAGGTTTTGAAATTTCCTTTAGTGGTTACTTATGGAGGAGTGTTAACTGTTTATGTAAGCAAGCATACCTCATAGTGGTATTTGCAAATGAAATCCAGAGTATGAGTGTCTCCAAGGTCAAAAGAGTCATCCTTCATATACACGTAGCACCAGTCATGTGTCAAAGCTTTGTAGCTGTATACACATCAAATGATTCACAAAAAAAGATGAATCTGATATCAAAGAGCTTATATAGTTCGTGAATATACACATCTCTCTAGGCACTGTGTTATTGGTATTCCGTAGGATGCAAGTTGGGTAAAAGTAGGTTATAGGTGTGGAGTATGGCGGTGATTCCTAAGAATAGTAGGTTATAGGTGTGGAGTATGGCGGTGATTCCTAAGAATGGGAGGTATAAAGTCAGCGTTAGGTATAGAGTTCATAGAAGAGGTAAAGGTAAAATTGTAAGAGTCAGAAGTAGAATTGTATTCAAATTGCACTGTAGGCTGTACTGTAGATTGTGAACTAAAGAAAGATGAGGTGGGAATGTTCTTCGTTAAATACATGATGGGTAGTTAATGCTTACAACAAATTACCTTGTTTCCTAATAAGTCCTGGCTTGTTCATCCATGACCTAGCCTTAGGTGCCTTAGGCCCCAGCCAATGACAAAAATAAGTAGTAGGTGAGGATGGTACAATAGCGGCGGTCTTCTTTAGAGAAGAGATAAGTAGGTGAACAATAGGAATGAGTATAAACAGAAGACATTGCGTGAAGAAGAATACTCCTTCACGCAGGGTATATATGTACATCACATAATAGGACAGCCCTAAGCTCTGTCTCGAACAGTTTTACTACGCAATCCCTATGAAACGACCCTATGTTCCTGAGTCTGTCCTAATTGTTTGAGAACTTGATCTAAACCCGAGTTGTGTTTTGGAATGGAACTCCCCATGAGTCGCCATCCTCGTTTCCGCCACATTTATCCATGAAATTATCTGTAGAGGCTGGATAAGATAGGTTTGGATGACAGTAGTTAGCTTTAGATACTATAGGGCCGCTGTATATAGATATAAATTTATATCTATGGAGCTATTGAGAGTCGTCTGTGGAATAAAATTTTCTGCTACTAATCACCACCTTGTTGCTTCTGTACCTATCCCTCGACTTAATACTTGAGCTGGCTTTTTACCAAACACCCTTGAAACACCGACCTCTTACCGACGGCACATATTCATTGTCACAGTATTATGATTATGAGCAACACGGAAGCTGTGGTGGGAGAGTGGTGCGGTCTTAGTATGCTATTGGCCATGGGTGACAGTGAATAGACTTATACAATGTTTTGCTGTAAGGATATGAACATAAAGTGTAAGAATAAACCTGTGTCCTTTTATTGTGAGTACACTTAGGAGATTATATACATGCTCGCTGAACCAGCACACTAGCTATATTATCTCGTGGCCGAAGGCCGTAAGCGATGCCCTAATCTCGACAACTCTGTTATCGCACATCATAACACACAGCCACAAAGTTAGGGCTTTGGCAAGATACTTCATCTCCTCAAATTACAGATGAACTACACGGCCACCAAGCATCTTCACGATGTTCCCGCACATCGGGTTTGGGCAAGGATATGTCCGAAAAGCAGGCAAAACCTGTATAGTCTTTTCGTCGCAATAAATATCAGTCATGTGGAAACTCAGAGTTGTATGAATGGACTAACCTCTGGAATATTGACCATTGGGATGGATATCGAAGTATTCGTATGTTCTGGTTGAATCTCCATGAATAGAGCTTGATTTTGAAATACTAGCACGGTTACCAGTAGCCTGTACTCTCCTCACGACATCACCGTTAATGATGACCCCAGAACAATCAAATATCACAGCAAGTGCTGGTGCTACAATGCTCAAGAGCGCAATAGCGAGATGTGGAAGAACAATTTTCATTGTGAGGCAAGTTATCTGCATGGTTATTAGTTGTATCTAGACAGGACTGTTTTCCGAGTCGACGCACAAGTCTCTTCAAATGACGCGGTGATTCGAGTCGATAAGTTGGAGAAATTATCCGTGATAATTCGTGCTTTTAACCTTGAATGGTGTGAAGGAGCTGATGCTCTAACGAAGAGAGAGAACCGCGCAAGTTCTTTTCACGGATGAGGAATTGTTAACAATGTGGCCAAAAATACAGTATTTATATCCAATAGAACATGACAGACTTTGCGGCTTATAGAGTACCGCAAAGGTCTCAAGTCACTTATACGAGTAAAGGTGCCTCAAAAAACGAAGGAAGCTTAGAGATCCTGTGGACGGCATGGATCTCATAGGCTTCATCCTTCTACGGTGGATGGACATCGGTGCAGGTGCAAGCATGGCTTGGCTTGGCTTGGCTTGGGAAAAGTATCGACACTTATTCGACGACTTGCTTGTCCCGGCAGTTGAAGTTGACAATGCTGAGAGGTCAAGCAGACATCAAAATTGTTCAAAATTATTACGGATATAACGAACATAGACCTGCCTTTCTACCGAGTCCAGCCTTCCCTCCAGCATCCGCATAGCTAGCTGCTCTGTTGAGACTATGATCTCTCACAACGGCTGCCTTGGCTCTGTCTCCATATTATCCACTGGATTCCTCGCCAGTAACTTAGCCTTCATAGTAATCTAAAACATTCTGATTACCGGTCTATATGGAGAGCAGTAGCTATATATTATATGATCTGTTTTGAGGTGGAATTAATGATAAGTTGAAGCTATTACCAATCTCAAGCCATTTGGCCCATATATATGTACATGGATGTGTTATTTGTTTGGTATTTAGCATGCTACATAATTTTTACTCATATTGTTTCTCCTCGGTATATAACTACCTAACACATGTAGTTCCTCTCTGCCTTTGGGTCAGGGATACCCATTCGAATAGTGTATTATATCCTACAACTCAACAACAGCTACCCTCATACAATACCATGCCCTACAGGCTCTTATTTTAACGTACAATTTGAGAACCCCTTGTCCTAAGATATCCAAAAAATGGCTGTTTCCCGGTGACTGACGGCCGGGAACAACTGCAAAAGCTATTAGACCCAGAGCTCTTCTAATACAGACATTAGGACTAGATCCAAAGACATAGTGACCCTTCTGAAGCGTTCGAAGAGGGTGACTAGCCCGGTATTGTAGACTTATTTATACCTCGGGAACTTCACGCTCTATCTTTCTATCCTCCTTCTAACCCTTTCCCGAAGGCCATGATGAAACGTCAGAGAAGTTGTCACAGAGCTTGATTGCTATGATGTAGATTAGCCTAACAATTTCCGTACTGTAGACTCATCGATAATGAAGTCCTCCTGGCTAAAAAGTCGAGACCTTGGTATTGGCGTCCATAAAATACCTCAAAATTGTCAGTCCCAGCATGCCAATTTGAGGCCTGCTTCCTCAATTATTCCACGTCTCAGCTGCCTGACTCAGTACTGGATGCACCATTGCCCATCCCACGGATCTTTCTCGTAATAGTTCTTCACAATTGGCGTCCTGGCAGAGGAAGGGTCGATTATCGACTTTCGCCTTGGGATTGTTGTTGTAAGGATTCCTCTTCCGACCTTTTCTTTGGGATATAATTTTACCTTTCTTCATATGTTGCTATGACAACAGGACAGTTCTTGGCACATGGTATCATGTTGATATTATGTTAAGGTCTATGTTATGATGAGCTATTGAAAGGAAGGCAGGTATATATATAATGGTTTGGTCTGTAGGCATAGACTTCTTTACGCTTAGTCTTCTGTCATAACCACCACCTTCGGATCACCTCTGGTCACCTATAGTCACCTCTAGTTACCTTTAGCACCTTTAGTCACCATTAGTATTTGCTCGTACCTTTAGACTCTTTAGACACTTATATTACCCATTTTTAAACCTTTAGTTCTCCGAATTATCTCCAGTAGATCTTTAGTCATCTCTCGCGATCCATCCGACCCCTTCTTGCCATTCTATTCCGCCTCGGGTCAAACGCCTACGCTCCAATTTGACAGTTGTTCATTGGTTAATGAGATGCAGTGGGTACTACAGATGTGAATAAGAGGACTGCAACTTGGCGCATTCAATTCAGAGCAAACAAAGCCCAGATTTTCTTTGTAGCTAGAAGATGGGGACTCCAGGGCCATGTAGCCCTCGGGAAAGATTCGTTCAATGGGAGGGGGGATAGTGTTGATGACCTTGAAAATTACTGCCATCGGATGGACATGGAAAGCGTCTACATTATTTTGCCATCACCCGTCAAGAGAGTTGAAAGTGCTGCTCCGCCAATGCTTGTTGCGGTTGAGCAGACTGATTGTCCGACTGTTGTTTGTGCTGTTTGACGCTTTTGGGACTGCTCCATCAAGTGAAGTTCTGTTGGTGTTTCTACTACTCCGGTATTGACAGTGCTTTTGGCAAATGACACAATTTGTTTTCTTGTTAATCGATTTGTATATTAGGTCGTCTTATCTCGGACTAATTACCTTTCTTTCTAACAGCAAGATGCTTCTACTATGGCTCAGTGCAACTACTACTTAGAGTAATGACCTGTTGTTGTAGCTATGCCACTACACCATTATTACTGGTTCGAAGGGTATGGGATTGGACGCTTCAGACGCTCATAGTTTAATGGAGCTGCGTCTGACGCTACGGCTATCTAGCTTTGACGGGAGGACAAAGGCTGAGCACCTGTAAGTTTTTGAGTCATCTGTCATGTATCTTTTCTCTAAAATTGTGTCACAGATAAATATTTATACATTCAATTAAAACCTTGTGCCAAAAAATCACCCATCAGTGGTATCCTCTGCGAGCTTGGGAGTGTAATATCCTCTCGGAGCCGAAGTTCAGTCATGACCAATGGTGGAATGAATTATATCTCATGGATTGTCGGCTTGAAGGACTTATTCTCGGTATTTTAGTTGGAAAATCAGTAGACAGCAATTTCATAACCACATGGAAATCGAACAAAATCTCATCACCCCTGACATACAATTCACGAATGGATCTAGGGCCATGTGGAGTTAGTATTCAAACAACCGACATCGCCTAGACTCCTTGTATATTCATGACTAAGCATTCCTCATTCAACCCTACATCTACAACCCACCTCCACCCTCAGCACACCAACTAGCTATAAACGCCCTGATGAGGAAAACAATTATGGAAATAAGATATTTAAAAAAGAGGAAAAGAAAAGAATATACATCGACAGGATCACATAGATCATCAAGAACGACAACAACCTAACCATACAATATGGAGGTGCAGGGTATGATTGCCAGTAAGCCGGTAGATTGCCTGTAGCCTGTGCTATTTAACACAGCTAAATCCATCATGTCGGCGCTAAGTTACGCTCGTGTTGAAAGCCTGGAATTGCCCATCCATGGAACATTGTTGGTAACTAGCCCACACCTGAATAATGGGAGCACGACTGGAAGACGGCTACTGATGATTGGAATATTGGGATCATGTATATAAATAGGGCGTTAGATGTAGCATAACTTTTGTACATCAGTTAATTAACTTATCTTTTAACATACAAATGCCGAAGCTTTATATACTGGAACCATTACACAAGGTTGGAGAAACAATGAAATCTGGGACTACATTTACATTTTGAAATCAATCAGGATGTCAAGGGCTCGGGCACGTGGTGACCGAGGCTGAAGAGGAATCTGCGTTACAGCATATCAACAGCGGGATTCTGGAGGGTCAGGCTTGGTATGACTCAACAGATAAGCAAAGTCTGATGATATGGCTAGGCATCCCTGAAGAAGGGCCAAGTAGAAGTTTCAAGGAGAAGGTCTTCCGAAGAGTTCAAGGAGAAGTTTGAAGTAGAAGGTTCTCTGGGGAACTCCAACAAATTGGAGTTAGGGAGGCTAGAGTCATGATCGAATCTTGTTCCGGTCTCGGGTGGATTTAAGTGATTGTTGTAGTGTGTTACAGGCTGCGCCTATCTCCTAGTGACTGACGCACGGACACTTATCATTATTACGTCATTAGCCTTGCTATCTAGAGAGATGTCCAACTTGGCCATACAAATACAGGGTTGCAACAAATATGGAAACAAGATATTGTTGCAGCAAGTCTCATATGGAATCATGGGCCGATACGACCCAGATTCGCTATGACGAGCCCACTCGGAATATCAAGGATATGATGTAGTAGAATAGATAGTGAGGTTAGCGCATTGGGAGTTGGGACACCTTAAGTAGCATCCCCTCGGTGGACAGTTCCGAGATGTATGTAGAAAATAGACAGTAATCGGCCACCATTCCTTTACTATATTGTTTTGTTGATCGCCCATCACATATTTTCTACATCATCCTAACATTGTAGTTTATCCCATTAAACAACAAAATTTCCGGTCAACCAAAGACTAGAAGAGAAGATCAAATCTTCTATGAGCTACCGAATCCCAAGTATAGATATCGATACCGATTCGACTGACAACGCTTCCTTTCATTCCAGGGCAAGTGAAACTATGTCGGAACAAGCTAACGTCAGCGGTGCCCATTACGGCCAACCGCAAAATACGGTTCATGAGCAACTAGGCGAACCCTCAGAGTTCGAAGAGCAACAGAGCCGATCTCCTCACCAAGCTGGGGACATTCCATCATTTAATCCGTCGTCACCTCAATATCAGGCGCTATATAATCAAATTATAGCAGATATCTCTCGCCGTCAACCCCTATTGAATGCGCAAAATTTTCCACACGCAACATCAACTCAGCCACAGTACAAAAAGCCCAGCAAGTGGCCTTCGTGGGACGGCTCAATCACTACTCTATCATCTCATATTTATCAGCTGATTGTTAAAGTCGAAGAAGATAAACTTCAGCTAGGGTCGGATCGCGCTATATGTCTAGGGATCCTGAATTCCATACCAGCAGATAAACAATCCAGAGTGAGTCACTGGTTTGAGACAGGAGGCCCTT